CAAGCATCCTGGCTCCACAGCTTCAGCCACCACCCTCTCCTGCCACTCATGAGTAAATTTATTCTCAAAACTACATCATAAAACTGAGGCTTTTGCATCCGGAATGAACATTTAGCCTACTGTTTTTACACAAGGGAAAACTGACACCCAGAAAGGACATGTGACTCACCTGGGGTCAGCAGCTATGGCGGAACAACTCTAGTCTTGACCACTCTGGACTGAGGAGCCATTCCCCTTTCCTCCACGTCTTCCTCACCAGCACATGTATCTCTTGAGCCTTCCCTAGTAACATCTTTCTCTGTCCTGTTCCTGTCTTCCTCTCCTTTGCCTTCTAGACACATGCGGGTAACAGTTGAAGTGAGATTTTTTTTAAAAAATTGAGTTATTTTGTACCCACATCTCAGTCACCTATATTATCAATCATTAGATTGTGAGCTCCTTTGGACAAGATCTGAGTCTTGGCCATCACAATTTTCCAGTTCTGTCATAAACAGATGTCCTACATGAGGCTACCCAAGCAGCTAACAGCCTCTCTTGACTGCCAGCACAAGCGGTGTTTATTTCCACTGGAGTGTTCCAAATAGCAGCTGACTAAAGGCAGCACGAAACAATTAAACTGTGAAACAAAACCTCCCAAACTCCCTTCTGCTATATAGCAACTCAGGGCTGGCTCACTCACGCTCTCTGCCTGACTTCACAAGTTTGTTACACAGAATGAATACTCCAGAAGTTGGATTAATCTCCCACATTATGTAAAGCACAGGATGCAGCAAACTGGACATGAGCTTTAAATAATGGTTTCTTAAATGGCATATAGAGCCAAAAGACATAAGGTGAATAATTTTTATAAACAAATGCTTGCCTTTCATGCAGGAGACTGGGTTTAATTCCCGGCCAATACACCTCATGCACAGCCACTAGTGTCTGTCAGTGGAGGCTTGCAGACTGGCAGACTAGGAAGAAAGGCCTGGTGATCTACTTGCAAAAATCAGCCAATGAAAACACTATAGATTACAACAGTCCAATCCCATTGTACATGGAGTTGTCATGATTCAGGGGCAACTCAATAGCAGCTAATAACAACAAAGATGTCTGAAGGACCAGATTCAGATGATGATTATAATAAATGAAGTATCCTTTTGTGCACATCCCGATGGTGATTATAATAAATAAATGTGTAGTATATAAAATACATAACAAGTTATAATAAATTAAAAGCCATTGCCATCAAGTTGATTCAGACTCATACGACCCTACAGGACAGAGGGGAACTGCCCCGTAGGGTTTCCAAGGAGCAGCTGGTGGATTTGAACTGCCAACCTTTTGTTAGCAGCCAAACACTTAACCACTGTGCCACCAGGGCTCCTATAATAAATTACGTACACTTTTTATAGTACTTTAGTTCATGACCATTTGAACTTTCACTTGTTTGAATTTCACAAGGACCTGCAGGTATTGTACCCATTTTACACCCTTTTGAGAATCAGTGACGTTAAATGCCTTGCCCAGGATGGTAAAACTCCATGTGACAGAGCCGGAAGTCCAACTCGCTCTGCCCCATCAACTCTGAAAGTTATTACTCAGAGCTCAGAAGACTATCACTAACCAAGTCATTATTGAAAGCTGAAGCCTGTCCCATCATACACGTTTGGCTGCACTTAGAGAAAAAGGTTTAACATCAGGGTGGGGAAGGCAAGTAGGTCATGAAACCCTACCCTGCTGTTGTTTGCTGCAGTCAAGTGGATTCCAACTCATGGCGACCTCACGTGTGCAGAACAGAACTGCTCCATAGGGTTTTCAAGGCTGTGACCTTTCTGAAGTAGATCGCCAGGCCTGTCTTCCAAGACACCTTTGGGTGGGTTCGAACCACCAACATTTCAGCTAGTAGTCGAGCACTGTTTCTACCACCGGCAGCATTTTCTTCTCTCTGCAGGCAGATCTGCTCAGCTGGTTAACAGGATCGGTTTTCCTGCACAAGCAGTGCCTGAGAAAATTAGCATCAGTCTAGTTAAAGCAGCTCAGTCACTCCCTGGCCTGAAGCATCAGGAATCAGGATGACCTGTCAGTCCCAGGGCTCAAGAAGGAAGCCATTGGCTGTTGTGACAAAACCTGGATTCACTAACAATGGAGGTTTTACATAGGTCCTATTGTTGGGTGCAGTCAAGTTGATTCCAACTCATTGCGACCCCATGTGACAGACGGGAACTGCCCCATAGGGTTTTCTTGGCTATAATTTTTACAGAAGCAGATCACCAGGTCTTTCTCCCTTGGAGCCGCTGGGTGGAGTCATACTGCCAGTCTTTCGGTTAGCAGCCCAGCACTTAACTGTCTGTGCCACAAGAGCTCCTCACATAGACCCTAAACCCATTGACCCGGGTCAATTCTGACTCATAGTGACTCTATAGACAGAGTAGAGCTGTCCCATAGGGTTTCCAAGGCTGTAAATCTTTCCAGAAGTAGATTGCCACATCTTTCTCCTACAGAGTGGCAGGTAGGTTTGAACTGCCAACCTGCCACCAGGGCTCTCCTATTACAAGGAAAGGGGTCTATATTTATTTTTCATCTACTCATTCAGCAAACATTGCGTGTTTATTGTGTACCAGACACCATAACTGGTACAGAGACAAGGGGAAATACAAAACTGGACTCCACACTGTCTTAGTCATCTAGTGCTGCTATAACAGAAGTACCACAAGCAGACAGCTTCAACAAAGAGAAATTTATTCGCTCACAGTCTAGTAGGTTACAAGTCCAAATTCAGGGCGTCAGCTCCAGGAGAAGGCTTTCTCTCTCTGTCGGCTCTGGAGGAAGGTCCTTGTGATGCATCAGTCTTCCCTTGTTCTGGGAGCATCTCAGGCGCAGGAACCTCAGGTCCAAAGAACGCGCTCTGCTCCTGGCACTGCTTTCTTGGTGGTATGAGGTCCCCAATTCTCTGCTTGCTTCCCTTTCATCTCTGTGTATGCAGGCCACACACTAGGGAAACTCCCTTTACGTTGAATCAGGGATGTGACCTTAGTAAGGGTGTTATACAATCCCACCCTAATCCTCTTTAACATAAAATGACAATCATAAAATGGAGGACTACCACACAATACTGGGAATCATGGACCAGCCAAATTGCTACACACATTTTTGGGGGGACATAATTCAATCCATGACTATACTTAAGAAGGTGACAATGTATAATGCAGATACAGACACTGAAATGCAATATGTAGTGTGGTAAGTACTACAGTTACCGTAGAAAGAAGTAACAATTTCTATTTAGAGGAGCTAAGCTTGCGAAGTGTTCATAACATTGATGATATTTGAGCTGGGTCTTTAAAAACAAATAAAAATTTGCCAGAAGATGGGGAAGAAGGACATTCTACACAGCGGAACAAACAAAGTTACAGGAGCGCATGGCTTGTTTAGAAAGTTATTAACTGCTGTCGAGTCGGCCCTTGACTTATGGGGACCTCATGCACTACCCGATGAAATGTTTCCTCCTTCCCATGAGGGGTTGGGAATCAGACCATTGTGATCCAGAGGGTTTTCACTGGCTGATTTTCAGAAGTAGATTGCCAGGCCTTTCGTCCTAGTTCACCTTAGTCTGGAAGCTCTGCTAAAACCTGCTCAGCATCATAGCAACACACAAGCCTCCACTGCCAGAAAGGTGGTGGCTGTGCATGAGGTGAATTGGCCAGAAATCAAATCTGGGTCTCTGGCACCAAAAGCAAGAACTCTACCACTGAGCCACCAATGCCTCAATGTTTAGAAAGTAGAGATGTACTACTGTTTTGTGGCCCTGAGAGAAATAGGGTTGGCACTGTATTTCAGTGCATTAAATAGTCTTAATTTAATGACTTTGAATTTGCTTACTGGCATATTTATACAGAGCTTCTATCCCCCCCACCCCCCAAAACCTAGGGAAATAAAAGGCTGGTTCCATTAAAAGAGGCAGATCCCAACTGAAGGGACAAAGGAGTATGGTTCACCAACAGGCTAGTAAATTATTTTTAAAACTCACCTGTTTTAAGAGGAGTTTGCTGAAAACTAGTTCTTTGATCTCATCTCTGTTATCACCACTATACAAAGGAGCGCTGGTTGCGCAGTGGTTAGAGCTACAGTTGCTAATCAAAAGGCCAGCAGTTCAAATCCACCAGCCGCTCCTTGAAAACCCTATAGGGCAGTCCTACTATGTCCTACAGAGTCACTATGAGTCAAAATCAACTCGACGGCAACAGGTTTTTTTTACACAAGCAAACAAGATGTCCAGTCCAGGGCTAGTTAAAGGGTGGTCGCCACAGACTGGCAGCATCTGAAATACAAATTCTTGTGCCCAACTCTACCTGCTGAATTAGATAGAATCTCTGGGTATGGGACCTAGAAATCTCTCCAGCTGATGCTTTTGCACGTTAAGAGTTTCAGAAACATTGGCCTGGTCGATTCAAAGTGAAATTGTCTTTCAGTGAAAAAGTCTTTCACTGGGCAGGTTTTATTACTGATTTTCTGCGTAACGCTAATGGGTGAATAGTCTCGGAAGGAATGCTGCTAATAGCAGGGCATGCAATGACCAACTGCAGTAGAGCGTTTGAACGACCACTGTTACTGTCCCTTAATGACCCCTTGCAAGAACTCCTCTGTGAGGCCCCCACTGCCACCTCCAGCGCACAGAACTGATCTCTTACTATGCCTCCTGTGCCAATATGTGTCTTGAACCTATCTCCGTTTCTGCACCTTTCCTACCTAACTGTGAGGTTTTGTTCGTGTCCAACTGCCCCATGAGCTCTTTGAGGGCAGAAGCCCGGTCTGAGTCATCTGGGTATCCAAGCACCGAAGCCAACGCGCAGCTGGTGCGCAAAGATGAACGCATGGGAAGGGGGCGTAAGACTCTCCCGAAATCGCAGGGTGGAGGGGGAGGCGTCTACTTCCGGGCCTCGGGACCGCTCCGCAGCCTCCTTTAGCGGAGGGCTCGCGTCACAGGCCCACCGCCCGGCCGCCCCTCGCCACCTCCCCTCCGTCCGCCAGCGCGCGGCTCCTCCCCGCCGAGGCCGACGTCGCCGCTGCCGCATCCGCGAGTGCTTTGCTTCTCCTCTAACATGGCAGACTCTGAAAACAAGGGATCTGCGGAGCCGAGCCCCGCAGCTGCGGAGGAGGTAATGGCGGAAACCGGTGCGCAGGGTGGAGACTCCGACAGCGCGGCCGGTCAGATGGCAGAGGCGCCCCAGCCCCCCGCAGAGAATGCAGCAAAGCCTAGAAATGACTTTATCGAGAGCCTGCCCAGCTCGGTGAAATGCCGAGTCCTTGCCCTCAAAAAGCTTCAGAAGCGATGCGATAAGATAGAAGCCAAATTTGATAAGGAATTTCAGGCTCTGGAAAAAAAGTATAATGACATCTATAAGCCCTTACTTGCCAAGATCCGTGAGCTCACCGGCGAAATGGAGGGATGTGCATGGACCTTAGAGGCCGAGGAGGACGAGGAGGAGGAAGATGAGGAGGTGGAGGAAGAGGAGGAGGTAGAGGAGGAAGATGAGGAGGAGTCGAACGATGAGGATCCTCACTCTGAGGTGTCTGATGACGCCGAGAAATAAGAGGAGGCAGAAATTGAAGAGGAGAAAGAAGACGAAGGGAGGAAAAAAAAGAAACCCCAAGCAATTTTGAACATTGGAGGACTTTAAAAAGGCTCAGGTTTTTGATTAAAATACAATGTGAACCAATTCTTACCTTCCTAAAATATATTCAATCAAGCAATCAGATCCTGGCCAGCCCATAAGTTTCAGATTTGATTTTCATTTTGAACACAATAAATGTATCAAAAGATGTTGAAGAAGAGGAGTTAAACCTGTATTTTTTCTTGATTTCTTCTGTGAAAATTGGAAATTGAGACTTCTAGTGTCAAGTAGATGTCAAATACAGAATGTCACTTTGAAACCCATTCATGAAACTATCACACTATAAATGGAACACCGGAGCCAAGACTGAAGGCATTCTCAATGCTAAATTGTTCAATTCCTTTAGTCCTCTTGAAAGTTCCTAGTGCAGAAAAAGTAGAGCCCAAGAAAAATGTTATCTTTATTTCAGACTTTGCTTTTGTAACCCAGAGATCCGCTTTCCACGTCCGAGGAGAGTGTTGGGATGGAGGAAGCTGGTGATGGAGATCATGACATTACTGTTGATGAGGCCAGAAAAACTGCCACTTCCAGTTCTGAAGAATGTTCTTGAATATCTGAATTTAGGGAAACAACCTGGTTCAGTGAAGGAGGGCGTATAACCTGTATAATATCTTCAGAACATCTATTCATTACTTACAATCTCACGCTTATGTGTTTTCTTGGTACTGTCTATTTACGAAAGAGTTAAAATGCTTAAGTAGTAAATAATTTTACCTATTCTGAAGAATTCATTTTCTTGAAGAGATGTAGAATACAGCAAATTCTCTAAAGCATGTCTATCCAGTGTTACGTAGTTTGATCCCTGTGAAGTCTTTTTGCCATGTAGCTCTTAGAATGTAGCTGTGAAAATTACCAGAATTCTTCACTGAAACGAATATATTTGGAAAAAATATACACTTGAAGAACTAGTCCAAGTGTGTGCCCCCACCCCCAGCTCAGAAGTAGCTTGTATTAGCTGTGACTTCATTATTTTGCTATGTAAATGTGACATATTAAATATAAGATGGTGCATAATCAAATTTTACTGCTTGAAGATAGCCTGGCATACAGTTAAGGATTTTCAGGAAGAACACATTTAATGTAAAGATTCAGCTTATTTGTGAGTTTTGAATTGTGTGTGACCCAGTGATCTATAAAGAGACATAAACATAAGGTGGTTTACCACTGTGGTGTTAATAAAACTTAGTCTTTTCAAACATTTTCCTCTTCTCATACTGTGTATTGGGTAAATAAGGTGACTAAGCATATTTTCTGTCTGGTAAATCTTCACTAACATTGTCACTTTATCATTCTTTCATAACTTAAAGTGAATAGAATCAAATAACCAACAAGGAAATGAATGTTTGCATAGGCAACAGTTTCTTGTTTGAAGCTACGTGCCTATCCACACAAGTCATGAGGATGATAACGATGTATTCGTTCACTGCTTCTTCCCTAGCACTCAGCATAGTACCTGGCGTATAGTATGTATTTAATAAGTACTTGTAGAATGAGTGAATGTCCATAATTACACTTACAAGTACATACTTAATGTCTGAAAAATAAATAAGCTGGTGCTTCCCATATATCTAAAACTATCGAAACATGCATCACTATATCTCATAATTAAGAATTAACACAATTTTATTTTAGCAAATAGCTAAGAAGAAAAATCTAGAAAATGGCAGAAGACTGCGCACACACACACACAAATTTGGAGACGGCCCTACTAAACTGTAGTTATCCAGGAACTGTATTAACAGAAAAGAACACAAATTTCCGAGAAAGTTAATCAACTAAATCAACTCCTCAGAAGAGTTAATGATAACTCATTCTACTTCAGATGCCTGATAGGATTAGTTGGGAAATTCAGCCACATTGACAGAAGTCAACTGAACAAATATCATTCAGTCTAGGTGCAGTTCTGCAGAGAAGGCCCACTAGATGGAGTTCACAATGTTTAACAGTGCCATTAAAGAACGCTCCTTGCTGAGCTGGTTCTCAGATACCTACTGAGTGATCTGTCTTGACCTCCTTCTCTCTAATCTAGGTCTCAGCCCTCCTTTTCTCATACATCTTTCCTCACCAAATCCCATTCCTAAGGGCTCAATCCTTATTAACTTAAACTGGATGCAAATGAAATCATACAATTTTGAAACACAAAAGGCATGTCTATGTATATTGACTCCCTCCTTTGAAAATCCAAGAAACTGAGGCACAGTGTCATAACAAGCTCCAAAGTACCCAGTTTGCGGATTCCTAATTCCAGGTTTTTTTTCACTGAAAAACGTTCCCACATAGAAAGTTTCTGCAGCCCTCTTTTCTTTCTCTTCCCTTTCATAGCAAAATCACCTAACTTTATACTTATTTTTGTTGTTTTAATTTTGCCCTTCCACTTTTCTCTTCCATCTGACTCCCAGAACCAGAGATAGAGATCCCTGTTTTGGCCGCACCATTCTAAACACTCAGTTTCTGCAATCTTTTTGGAGAGAGGTGTTTGGTGATCTGACCCCTGAGGTCTCTTTGACATCACTGGCTTTCTTCGCTTTTGTTGCCTTTCTGCATACTTAAAATACTGGAGCTGGAAGGAAAACTACAGAGCAGCCTTTCCCAAACAGTTCTGTCGAGCAGCAGCTTGACGACATGATAATTTTTGGAACAAAAAGCAAGGGGTTCTGTAACTCTTATTACACTAAGCTTGGGAAATGCTGCATAACTAAATTCTTCTCTCAGAGATTCACAATGCACATCAGCTTTTCAAGGACACTGACAAGTTGTTGCTGGCTGTTGTCAAGTTGATTCTGACTCATAGTAACTCCACGTGACAGAGCAGAACTACCTGATAGCGTTTCCTAGGCTGTAATCTTTACGGAAACAGATCACCAGGTCTTTCTCCCACAGAGCCGCTGGGTGAGTCTGAAGCCGAGCGCTTAACTGTTGCACCCCCAGGGCTCCTTACAAGTACCAGTAGTAAAAGAGACATTTATTTAACTCTGCTTAATCGTCAATCTTTTCACACCTATTAACTTCCCTTAAACTGGTTTCGGAAGGTCTTGCCTAGTCCAGCCCCCTTGCTTCACAAGTCAAGACTGAGTTCAGTATTTGAATGAATTTCTCACTGGCCTGCTGAGCATTGGTGCCAGGGCCAGTCCTCCAAACCAGCTGAGTCCCAGGGCAAGGCCTATAGTCTCTAAGTATTGTTTCTTCTCTGCTGGGTCTGATTGTTTCTGGTCTTCAGCACACCCAATTCTCAACCTTTGCCCTGGGACCAACTACAATTGTTTACTTAAGTGTATGCCTGTGGAGGGAGGGGAAAGGATAGATGCTTGATCTTATTATGTCAGCTCAATCCCACATCCAATCAGGACATAGGGCTATGCTGGGTTTCCTTACTTACAGTACATCTACTAGATATTGGGACATGAACATGCAAAACCATTCAAGGAATCTTTCTAGGGGTTCCAGGGAACTAAAGGAACAAACCCGGAACTAAGTGTCATGGAGGAGATTCAAGGGTGAGGCTTTTCAGCTGGGGCCCGTCGTCTTTAGGTAAAAGAGTTGGGTCAGACTATAAAGCAATGAGACTGATGTTCACATGTATCTCATGAAATGGCTTGGAATGAAGTTTCTAAAGACATGTTTTAGACATGCTCTGAGTACTAGCAATGGCATCATCATTAGATTAAGTTTAGAGCAACACAGTTGGAGGACTAAGCACTCTGCTAAGAAGCCTCTATATTTCCCTTCTCAGTGTAGTGTGGCAGATTGGAAAGGCCATGGGACTGCAATGGACAATCCCTCATTAGCCACCTACCAGCTGTATGAATTTGAGGGAAAAATAGTTAACCTCTCAAGCATTTTTCTTTAAACGAAAAAATGTTTCAGTGTAAGAATACAGAGCACAAGAGCAGGAATTACACTTGTTTATTGCTATTTCCCAGAATAATGCCTGGCACAAAGTAGGTAAGCAATAAAAACTCACTGAAGGAATGAACAAAAATTCTAATCAATGTCAAATGTTCTCAAAAAAATTTAAATTAAACAAGGTACCCAATTAAACCATTAAATTAACAAGTTTTTTAAAAAATCAACTGCAATAGTTGATGCTTGAAAAAGTATAGCAAAACTGGCATTCTGACAAATTGCTGTTAACCATATAAATTGGAAAATAACTTGACTATAAGTAACAGGATCTGCAAAAAGATTTATACCCTTAGATCTGGTAGTTCTACTTTTTTGGACTCTCTGGAGGAAAACCTCTAAAACAAAAAGATTATGCAAACAAATATTTTCACTGTACACTATTTACAATAAAAAGTGACTAAACAGCCATTAGAGAAATGCAAATCAAAACTACAATGAGAGATCATCTCACTCCAACAAGGCTAGCATTAATCCAAAAAACACAAAATAATAAATGCTGGAGAGGTTGTAGAGAGACTGGAACACTTACACACTGCTAGTGGGAAAGTAAAATGGACCACTTTGGAAATCGATTTGCACTTCCTTAAAAAGCTAGAAATAGAAGTACCAGACGATCCAGCAATCCCACTCCTAAGAATATATCCCAGAGAGATAACAGCCGTCACACGAATAGACTTATGCACACCCATATTCATTGCAGCTTTGTTCATAATCGCAAAAAATGGAAACAACCTAGGTGCCCATCAACGGATGAATCAATAAACAAATTATGGTATACTCACACAATGGAATACTACGCAACAATAAAGAACAATGATGAATCTGCGAAACATCTCATAACATGGATGAATCTGGAAGGCATTATATTGAGGGAAATTAGTCAGCCACAAAAGGACAAATATTGTATGAGACCACTATTATAAGAACTCAAGAAAAACTTTAAACACAGAAGAGAACATTCTTTGATGGTTATGAGGGTGGGGAGGGAGGGAGATGGGTATTCACTAACTAGATAGTAGACAAGAATTATCCTAGGTGAAGGGAAGGACAACACACAATACAGGGGAAGTCAGCACAACTGGACTAAACAAAAAACTAAGGAGTTTCCTGAATATAACCAAACACTTCGAGGGACAGAGTAGCAGGGACAGAGGTCTGGGGACCATGGTTTTAGGGAACATCTAGGTCAACTGGCATAACAAAGTTTATGAAGAAAATGTTCTGCATTCCACTTTGGTGAGTGGCGTCTGGGGTCTTAAAAGCTAGTGAGCGGCCACCTAAGATGCATCAGCTGGTCCCAACCCACCTACAGTAAAGGAGAATAAAAAACACCAAAGACACAAGGAAAACATTAGCCCAAGAGACAGAAAGGGCCACATAAACTAGAGACTTCATCAGCCTGAGGCCAGAAAAACCAGATGGTGCCCAGCTACCACCAATGGTTCCCCTGACAGGGAACACAACAGAGAGTCCCTGACAGAGCAGGAGAAAAGTGGGGTGCAGAACTCAAATTCTAGTAAAAAGACCAGACATAATGGTCTGACTGAAACTGGAGGGACCCCGTAAGACATGGCCCCCGAACTCTCTGTTAGCCCAAAACTAAAACCATTCCTGAAGCCAACTCTTCAGACAAAGATTAGACTGGACTACGGGACATAAAATAATACTGGTGAAGAGTGTGCTTCTTAGCTCAAGTGGATACATGAGACTAAATGGGCAGCTCCTGTTCAGAGGCAAGATGAGAAGGCAGAGAGGGTCAGGAGCTGGTTGAATGGACACGGGAAATCCGGGGTGGAAAGGAGGAGTGTGCTGTCACATTACAAGGAGAGCAACTAGGGTCACATAACAATGTATGTATAAATTTTTGTACGAGAAACTAACTTGAGCTGTAAACTTTCACCTAAAGCACAATAAAAATAAGAAACTGACTAAACAGGCCAAGTGTCTGAAAATAGGGAAATAGGTTAAAAAGGGCATATGCTCTTTGATGCATCCATTACAAAGAAAGATGGAAATAATGTAGAGTAACAATGTGGTAAATCCTTCTGGTATAATGCTAAATAAAATAAGAAGTACATAAAATCATATGTACAGTATGATAGCATCCAACAAAAAAGAGAGACTGAAGGAAACACACACACACAAAAAAAGCAAATGATTGTGTAAAGGTGATATTCTAGATGAGTTTTGCCTCTTTTCCAAATTTTCTATAGTATGATTATATATCTTTTATGATCTGCTCCCATAAAGATTACAGCCTACAAAACCCTACGGGGCAGTTCTACTCTGTCATATAGAGTCGCTATGAGTAGGAATCAACTAGACAGCAGACAACAACAATAGTATCAATTTACTGAAGGAATTATGCTTTAAAGCAGCTGTAAATGCCAGGGATTACAGAATTTAAAGAACACTCTCCACCCTCTGACATCCACCCACCGCCCAAACACACCCTTTACCTGTTCATATGCCTACACAAGCATCTACCACCCAAACACACCTTTTATCTATTCATATTCCTACATACCACCCTGTGAAGGTAAAGTGTGCGTTTGGACAGCAGGTGGATGTCAGAGGGTGGAGAGTGTTCTTTAAGTTCTATAATCCCTAGCTGTTACAGCTGCTTTAAAGCCTAATTCCATCACTAAATTGTTGTTATTTTTGTTTTTGTGTGCTGTCTAGTTGATTCTGATTCATAGCAACTGTATGACAGAGTAGAACTGCTCCACAGGTTTTTGTAAGCTGTAATCTTTACGGAAGCAGATTGTAAAAGATATACAATCACGCTATAGAAAATGTGGAAAATAGGAAAACATACTCTTGCCTGCACAACTGTCTGTCTTCCTCATGCAGCATATACTTTGCTCAAGGATACAGAGGCTGAACTATGGGTTCAGTCTGTCTTTGGGCATTTTTCTTGCTTCACCTCATGACCAAATTCCAGTGCATCCTTCAGTATCCATCTCAAATGTCCCCTCCTCTGTGGCACCCTGTCCAACTCACTCCTGGATGGTCACTTCTGCCTTGGTGCTCTCTAGCACTTGGTTCAAGCTTCTACTTTTGAAGCAAGCTGTTATGTTCCTTATCACATTCTAGATCTATCTCCTTCATTTTTGTTCCCCTAGGTCTAGCATACTGCCTGGTACCTCGCGAATGCTCAATATAATTGGTGAATGAATGTATTGCTGTTTATGTTTCTTTTCATTGTTGCTTCTAAGTTCATACCTTCTGAAGAAGCAGGCAGCTTATATCAAAACATTTTCCTACTTGGGCTCTCTATGGAGGAAGCAGGAATCCAAGGCAAATGCAAGTGAATTTTGATGGTTGATTCTACCAATACTGCCTTCATTGAAAAGGACATGTCCAGAGACAACTTCCTGTCAGGATATTAACAACAATACCCTCTAGACTGCAGAAGCTGTTGGGTTACTTCTGGCCATTCATCCATGTATTCACTCAGCAAATATTTGCATGTTTCCTTTGTGCCAGGAACTGGTGAACTACAGACATGACCCCTCCTCTCACAGAGTTTACAGCCTGGAAGGGAGACAGAATTGCTTAAGGAGGTAAACTATTTAGGAGTAATTCAACAGACAATTACCTACAGCGGAATGTTCTATGGAGGGAAAGAACAGGGTGGAATGAGAGAGGAAAATGCAAGTGAGAGGGGGACTAGACTAAGTGGTTAAAGCAAGAGGTCACATTCTCTAACCATAGACTCAACCCCTTGGACGTACATGCAAGAAGCTTTTGTCTCAAGTAAAGCACCACAGCCATCAACAACTGTAGTTTTTGTTTAAACAAAAAAAAAAGTGATGTTCTGGAGCAATACAGTAGAGACACAACAAGAAAGACTGCATTGAAGTTTTTGCTTAAGACAAAAAGCTACGAAACTCAAACAATAGTAGAAA